TGAAAGTTTAACATTTCTACATCTAGTGAGGAAGAGGTGTTGGTCTTGGAGAAAGAGAGAGAGAGCATCATGCTTGTTAACATTCTCTCTCTCTCTCTCTCTCTCTCTCTCTCTCTCTCTCTCTTCTCTCTCTCTCTCTCTCTCTCTCTCTCTCTCTCTCTCTCTCACTGCTTTTTTAACAACGCATATTATAAAATTCTGAAGTAATATTGATTGGAAAATATCGACTGAATCAGGCATGAAGACACTAGTTGCTTGCAAGATAATGTAGACACTGCTTGCTTGCAAGATAATGTAGACACTGCTTGCAAGATAATGTAGACACTGCTTGCTTGCAAGATAATGTAGACACTGCTTGCTTGCAAGATAATGTAGACACTGCTTGCTTGCAAGATAATGTAGACACTGCTTGCTTGCAAGATAATGTAGACACTGCTTGCTTGCAAGATAATGTAGACACTGCTTGCTTGCAAGATAATGTAGACACTGCTTGCTTGCAAGATAATGTAGACACTGCTTGCAAGATAATGTAGACACTGCTTGCTTGCAAGATAATGTAGACACTGCTTGCTTACAAGATAATGTAGACACTGCTTGCTTGCAAGATAATGTAGACACTGCTTGCTTGCAAGATAATGTAGACACTGCTTGCAAGATAATGTAGACACTGCTTGCTTGCCAAGATAATGTAGACACTGCTTGCAAGATAATGTAGACACTGCTTGCTTGCAGATAATGTAGACACTGCTTGCAAGATAATGTAGACACTGCTTGCTTGCAAGATAATGTAGACACTGCTTGCAAGATAATGTAGACACTGCTTGCTTGCAAGATAATGTAGAACTGGCTTGCTTGCAAGATAATGTAGACACTGCTTGCAAGATAATGTAGACACTGCTTGCTTGCAAGATAATGTAGACACTGCTTGCTTACAAGATAATGTAGACACTGCTTGCTTGCAAGATAATGTAGACACTGCTTGCTTACAAGATAATGTAGACACTGCTTGCTTGCAAGATATGTAGACACTGCTTGCTTGCAAGATAATGTAGATACTGCTTGCTTGCAAGATAATGTAGACACTGCTTGCTTGCAAGATAATGTAGACACTGCTTGCTTGCAAGATAATGTAGACACAGCTTGCTTGCAAGATAATGTAGCACTGCTTGCTTGCAAGATAATGAAGACACTGCTTGCTTGCAAGATAATGTAGACACTGCTTGCTTGCAAGTAAATGTAGACACTGCTTGTAAGATAATGTAGACACTGCTTGCTGCAAGATAATGTAGACACTGCTTTCAAATAATGTAGACACTGCTTGCTTGCAAGATAATGTAGACACTGCTTGCTTGCAAGTAATGTAGACACTGCTTGCAAGATAATGTAGACACTGCTTGCAAGATAATGTAGACACTGCTTGCTTGCAAGATAATGTAGACACTGCTTGCTTACAGATAATGTAGACACTGCTTGCTTGCAAGATAATGTAGACACTGCTTGCTTGCAAGATAATGTAGACACTGCTTGCTTACAAGATAATGTAGACACTGCTTGCTTGCAAGATAATGTAGACACTGCTTGCTTGCAAGATAATGTAGACACTGCTTGCTTGCAAGATAATGTAGACACTGCTGCTTGCAAGATAATGTAGACACTGCTTGCTTGCAAGATAATGTAGACACTGCTTGCTTGCAGATAAATGTAGACACTGCTTGCTTGCAAGATAATGTAGGACACTGCTTGCTTGCAAGATAATGTAGATACTGCTTGCTTGCAAGATAATGTAGACACTGCTTGCTTGCAAGATAATGTAGACACTGCTTGCTTGCAAGATAATGTAGACACTGCTTGCTTGCAAGATAATGTAGACACTGCTGCTTGCAAGATAATGAAGACACTGCTTGCTTGCAAGATAATGTAGACACTGCTTGCAAGATAATGTAGACACTGCTTGCTTGCAAGATAATGTAGACACTGCTTGCAAGATAATGTAGACACTGTTTGCTTGCAAGATAATGTAGACAACTGCTTGCTTGCAAGATAATGTAGACACTGCTTGCTTGCAAGATAATGTAGACACTGCTTGCAAGATAATGTAGACACTGCTTGCTTGCAAGATAATGTAGACACTGCTTGCAAGATAATGTAGACACTGCTTGCTTGCAAGATAAGTAGACACTGCTTGCAAGATAATGTAGACACTGCTTGCAAGATAATGTAGACACTGCTTGCTTGCAAGATAATGTAGACACTGCTTGCAAGATAATGTAGACACTGCTTGCTTGCAAGATAATGTAGACACTGCTTGCAAGATAATGTAGACACATGTTTGCTTGCAAGATAATGTAGACACTGCTTGCTTGCAAGATAATGTAGACACTGCTTGCTTGCAAGATAATGTAGACACTGCTTGCAAGATAATGTAGACACTGCTTGCTTGCAAGATAATGTAGACACTGCTTGCAAGATAATGTAGACACTGCTTGCTTGCAAGATAATGTAGACACTGCTTGCAAGATAATGTAGACACTGTTTGCTTGCAAGATAATGTAGACACTGCTTGCTTGCAAGATAATGTAGACACTGCTTGCTTGCAAGATAATGTAGACACTGCTTGCTTGCAAGATAATGTAGACACTGCTTGCAAGATAATGTAGACACTGCTTGCTTGCAAGATAATTTAGACACTGCTTGCTTGCAAGATAATGTAGACACTGTTTGCTTGCAAGATAATGTAGACACTGCTTGCTTGCAAGATAATGTAGACACTGCTTGCTTGCAAGATAATGTAGACACTGCTTGCTTGCAAGATAATTTAGACACTGCTTGCTTGCAAGATAATGTAGACACTGCTTGCAAGATAATGTAGACACTGCTTGCTTGCAAGATAATGTAGACACTGCTTGCTTGCAAGATAATGTAGACACTGCTTGCTTGCAAGATAATGTAGACACTGCTTGCTTGCAAGATAATTTAGACACTGCTTACAAGATAATGTAGACACTGCTTGCTTGCAAGATAATGTAGACACTGCTTGCTTGCAAGATAATGTAGACACTGCTTGCTTGCAAGATAATGTAGACACTGCTTGCTTGCAAGATAATGTAGACACTGCTTGCTTGCAAGATAATGTAGACACTGCTTGCTTGCAAGATAATGTAGACACTGCTTGCTTGCAAGATAATGTAGACACTGCTTGCTTGCAAGATAATGTAGACACTGCTTGCAAGATAATGTAGACACTGCTTGCTTGCAAGATAATGTAGACACTGCTTGCAAGATAATGTAGACACTGCTTGCTTGCAAGATAATGTAGACACTGCTTGCAAGATAATGTAGACACTGCTTGCAAGATAATGTAGACACTGCTTGCTTGCAAGATAATGTAGACACTGCTTGCAAGATAATGTAGACACTGCTTGCTTGCAAGATAATGTAGACACTGCTTGCAAGATAATGTAGACACTGCTTGCTTGCAAGATAATGTAGACACTGCTTGCTTGCAAGATAATGTAGACACTGCTTGCAAGATAATGTAGACACTGCTTGCTTGCAAGATAATGTAGACACTGCTTGCTTGCAATGATAATTTAGACTGCTTACAAGATAATGTAGACACTGCTTGCTTGCAAGATAATGTAGACACTGCTTGCTTGCAGATAATGTAGACACTGCTTGCTACAAGATAATGTAGACACTGCTTGCTTGCAAGATAATGTAGACACTGCTTGCAAGATAATGTAGACACTGCTTGCTTGCAAGATAATGTAGACACTGCTTGCAAGATAATGTAACACTGCTTGCTTGCAAGATAATGTAGACACAACTTGCTTGCAAGATAATGTAGACACTGCTTGCTTGCAACATAATAAAAATAATTGCACCAACCACTCCAAAACTATATCCCCACCTGCTTTTAACATTTTCTATCTTTATCCCATCAATCCCGGCTGCCTTACCCCTTTCGTTTTACCTACTGCCTCACGAACTTCCCCCACTCTCACAACTGGCTCTTCCTCACTCCTACAAGATGTTATTCCTCCTTGCCCTATACACGAAATCACAGCTTCCCTATCTTCATCAACATTTAACAATTCCTCAAATATTCCTCCATCTTCCCAATACCTTAACTCTCCATTTAATAACTCTCCTCTCCTATTTTTAACTGACAAATCCATTTGTTCTCTAGGCTTTCTTAACTTGTTAATCTCACTCCAAAACTTTTTCTTATTTTCAACAAAATTTGTTGATAACATCTCACCCACTCTCTCATTTGCTCAATTTTTACATTGCTTCACCACTCTCTTAACCTCTCTCTTTTTCTCCATATACTCTTCCTTCCTTGCATCACTTCTACTTTGTAAAAACTTCTCATATGCTAACTTTTTGTCCCTTACTGCTCTCTTTACATCATCATTCCACCAATCGCTCCTCTTCCCTCCCGCACCCACTTCCCTTTAACTACAAACTTCTGCTGAACACTCTAACACATCTTCGACCCCATTGCCTATGCTCTCACTAGCCCATCTATCCTCCAATAGTTGTTACTAGTTACTAAGATAAGATTTCGTTCGGATTTTTAACCTCGGAGGGTTAGTCACCCAGGATAACCCAAGAAAGTCAGTGCGTCATCGAGGACTGTCTAACTTATTTTCATTGGGGTCCTTAATCTTGTCCCCCAGGATGCGACCCACACCAGTCCACTAACACCCAGGTACCTATTTGCTGCTTACTAGTTACTAAGAATATTACTAATTACTAAGAATATTACTAGTTACTAAGAATATTATTAGTTACTAAGAATATTATTAGTTACTAAGAATATTACTAGTTACTAAGAATATCATTAGATACTAAGAATATTACTAGTTACTAAGAATATTACTAGTTATTAAAAATATTATTAGTTACGAATATTACTAGTTCTTGAGACTATTTCTAGTTCTTAAAAATATTACTAGTAATTAAGAATATTAATTTTAAGTAAGATAATTTACTTGATGAGATCCTCCGTCAACAGCGATGTTTTGCCAGTCTCACCTTCGTCACCTTCATCTCTGTTGTCATCTTCATCATCACCTTCGCTGGTGGTGGTGGTGGTGATGGTGGTGGTGGTAGCAGTAGTGGTGGTCGTGGTGGTGGTTGTGGTGGTAAACAGGAAGTTGGGTGCCTCCAGGATGTCGTCCACGACTAAGTCTTCACGTTATAATGCTGTTTCTGGCTATTATTGTCTTAATAATGGAGGTAATGTATGTGTGTGTGTGTGTGTGTGTGTGTGTGTATGTGTGTATGTGTGTGTGTGTGTATGTGTGTGTATGTGTGTGTACTCACCTATTTGTACTCACTATTTGTGGTTGCAGGGGTCGAGTCCTAGCTCCTGGCCCCGCCTCTTCACCGGTTGCTACTAGACCCTCTCTCTCCCCGCTCCATGAGCTTTATCAAACTCGTCTTAAAACTGTGTATGGTTCCTGCCTCCACTACGTCATTTTCTAGGCTATTCCACTGCCTTACAACTCTATGACTGAAGAAATACTTCCTACTATCTCTCTGACTCATTTGTGTCTTCAACTTCCAATTGTGACCTCTTGTTTCTGTGTCCCCTCCCTGGAACATCCTGTCCTTGTCCACCTTGTCTATTCCACGCAGTATTTTATATGTCGTTATCATGTCTCCCCTGACCCTCCTGTCCTCCAGTGTCGTCAGGCCGATTTCCCTTAATCTTTCTTCATAGGACATTCCCCTTAGCTCTGGAACTAACCCTTTTTGCAAACCTTTGTACTTTCTCTAGTTTCTTGACGTGCTTTATCAAATGCGGGTTCCAAACAGGTGCTGCATACTCCAGTATGGGCCTGACATACACGGTGTTACAGTGTCTTGAATGATTCCTTACTAAGGTGTCGGAATGCTGTTCTCAGGTTTGCCAGGCGCCCATATGCTGCAGCAGTTATCTGATTGATGTGTGCTTCCGGAGACATGCTCGTGTTATACTCACCCCAAGATCTTTCTCCTTGAGTGAGGTTTGCAGTCTTTGGCCACCTAGCCTATACTCTGTCTGTGGTCTTCTGTGCCCTTCCCCTATCTTCATGACTTTGCATTTGGCAGGATTAAATTCGAGAAGCCATTTGCTGGACCAGGTGTCCAGTCTGTCCAGGTCTCTTTGAAGTCCTGCTGGTCCTCATCGATTTAATTCTCCTCATTAACTTCACATCATCTGCAAACAGGGACACTTCTGAGTCTAACCCTTCCGTTGTGTGGTGTGTGTGTGTGTATGTGTGTGTGTGTGTGTATGTGGTGTGTGTGTGTTGTGTGTGGGTGTGTGTGTGTATGTGGGTGTGTGGTGTGTTTTGTGTGTGTGTGTGTATGTGTGTATGTGTGTGTGTGTGTGGTGTGTGTGGTGTGTGTGTGTGTGTGTGGGGTGTGTGTGTGTGTGTGTACTCACCTAATTCACCTAATGTGGTTGCAGGGGTCGAGACTCAGCTCCTGACCCCGCCTCTTCACCGCTCCATGAGCTTTATCATCCCTCATTTTAAAGCTATTTTATGGTTCCTGCTTCCACTACATCACTTGTTAGACTATTCCACTTATGACTACTCTGTGACGAAGAAATACTTCCTAACATCCCTGTGATTCATCTGAGTCTTCAGCTTCCAATTGTGACCCCCTTGTTTTCTGTATCCCATCTCTGGAACACCCTGTCGCTGTCCACCTATCTATTCCACGCAGTATTTTGTATGTCATTATCATGCCTCCCCTGACCCTCCTGTCCTCCAGGTCGTCATTTCCGATTTCCCTCAACCTTTCCTCGTACGACATTCCCCTGAGCTCCGGAACTAGCCTTTTTGCAAACATTGAAACTTTCCTAATTTCTTAACGTGCTTGACCAGGTGTGGATTCCAAACTGGTGCTGCATACTCCAGTTTTTTCCTGACGTACACAGTGTACAGTATCTTCAACGATTCCTTACTAAGGTATCGGATTGCTATTCTCGGGTTTTACCAGGAGCTCATGTGCTGCAGCATTTAAATCTGGTTGTTTGTGTGCTTCCGGAGATTTTCTCGGTGTTATGGTCACCCAAGATCTTCTCCTTAAGTGAGGTTTGAAGTCTTTGTTTACCTAGCCTATACTCTGTCTGCGGTCTTCTTTGTCCTTCCCCAAGCTTCATGACTCTGCATTTGGCAGGGTTGAATTCGAGAAGCCAGTTTCTGGACCATGTGTCCAGCCTGTCCAGGTCTCTATGTAGTCCTGCCTGATCCTCATCTGATTTAATTCTTCTCATTAACTTCACATCATCTGCAAACAGGGACACTTCTGAGTCTATCCCTTCCATCATGTCATTCACATATATGAAAAATATCACTGGTCCTAGGACTGACCCTTGTGGGACCCCGCTCGTCACAGGTGCCCATTGTGATACCTCATCATGTACCATGACTTGTTGCCTCCCTGTCAGATATTCTCTGATCCATTGCAGTGCCCTTCCTGCTATACGTGCCTGATCCTCCAGCTTCTGCACTAGTCTCTTGTGAGGAACTGTGTCGAAGGCCTTCCTGCAGTCCAGGAAAATGCAATCAAGCCACCTTCTCTCTCGAGTTTTTCTGTTTGCCTTGTCATGAATCCAGAAGGTTGTGACACAGGATTTTCCTCCCATGAATCCGTGCTGGTTTGGGCGTTTATAATCTTGTTCCGTTCCAGGCACCCCAAACACTCTCCTCCTGATAATCTTCTCCATGACTTTGCATACTATACACGCCCATGAGACTGGTCTGTAGTTTTAGTGCCTCGTTTCTGTCTCCTTTCTAAAAAGGGGTACTACATTTGCCGTCTTCCATACCTCAGGTAGTTGCCCAGTTTTCAAGGGATGTATTGAAGATTGTGTTTAGTGGCATGCACAGCTTCTCTGCTCCTCTTAAGGACCCACGGGGAGATGCCCGGTCCCCATCGCCTTTGAGGTATCAAGGTCGCTTAGCAGCTTCTGCATCACCTCCTCAGTTTTTGGGTTTTGTCCCCCTCTGTGCTGTCTTCCAAGAGTCCTTCCTGTCTCTACTGTAAAAATTTCCCTTTAAATCTCATGTTGAGCTCCTCACATACCCCCTGGATCGTTCTTGTGAGTTCCCCACCTTCTTTCCTCACCTTATCACCTGGTCCTTGACTGTTGTCTTTTCTCTGATGGGGCTATACAGCGTTTTGGGGTCAGACTTGACTTTCGATGCTATATTATTTTCATACTGTCGCTGGGCCTCCCTCCTACCTGTGCATACTCATTCCTGACTTTTCGACTAATCTCGTTATTTTCCTGTGTTCGTCGCCTTCTGTACTTTTCCATTCATTGCTGCACTTAGTTTTTGCCTCCTTACACCGTGGGGTTTAAACCAGGGGCTCGTACTGGTTTTTCCCAAATATTTCTATTGCCCTGTGGTGTATGTACTCACCTATTTGTACTCACCATTTGTGGTTGCAGGGGTCGATTCATAGCTCCTGGCCCCGCCTCTTCACTGATTGCTACTAGGCCCTCTCTCTTCCTGCCCCATGAGCTTTATCATACCTCGCCTTAAACTGTGCATGTTCCCGCCTCCACTAACTTCACTTTCTGGGCTATACCCCCGGCCTGACCTACTCTGTGACTGAAGAAATACTTCCTAACATCCCTTTGATTCATCTGAGTCTTCAATTTCCCAAATTGGACCTCTTGTGTCTGTGTCCCATCTCTGGAACATCCTGTCTTTGTCCACCTTGTCTATTCCGCGCAGTTTTTTATGTCGTTATCATGTCTCCCCTGACCCTCCTGTCCTCTAGTGTCGTCAGCCCCTTTTGTGTGTGTGTATGTGTGTGTGGGGTGTGTGTGTGTGTGTGTGTGTGTGTTTTGTGTGTGTGTGTGTGTGAGTGTGTGTTGTTCTATGTGTGTGGCTTAATTAAGCATATGCAATCTATATGTTGTTTCAGGGGTGTAGTCTCAGCTCCTGGCCCCGCCTCTCAGTTTGCCACTTGCCAGATTCACTCATCCCTTGCCTCGCACTCTCTGTCGTACCTTTCTTAACGCCAAGTATGGAGTTGGTTTCGACTAGAACAGGCAGAAGAAGTACTTCCTGACATTCTCTATCACTTATTTGCATCTTTAACTTCCAACTGTTCCAGTATTTTCTTCAGTTTCTTAACATGTTCTCCGATATGTATTGTATAAAAGGTCAGAAGGATTTTTGACTTTTTTGATGGCTAACTCCTTGGGTTTTTCCCAAAAGAACATTGGCTGCAGAGGTTCTTCTGTTAAAGTGAACCTCTTACGATAAACTGCCCGTATGCTCAACCCTGGGAGGTCTGCAAGTCTATTTTCCTGAGTCTGTACTCCGTGTTCGATCTTCTTGTCCCTTCCCCAAACCTCAAAATCTTGTAACTTACTAGAGTCGAAGTCAAAGAACCACTTCTGACCAGTTTTTATAGCATTTCCCTTTTCCCTCGTATATTTTTATTATCATTTTGCATCATCATCTAACAGGGGTGCATGTAATTGCATCCTTCTTGGGTAGGTCATTCACATAAACTAGAAACAGTGTTGGTCCTAATTCCGATCACTGCGGTACCCCGCTTGTTTACTATTTGCCTTTTTGAAATACTTCCCCGACAATTCCGCTTTGTTTCTTTTCCATTAGACCACCAGAGTAAGTTCTCTGTTATTCCTGCCTGTACCCTCAAGAGTCTCTTGTGGGTACAGGATCAACTGCCTTCTTGCAAAGAACATGCAATCCGCCCATCTGTCTCTCTCTCTCTCTCTCCTTTTTCACTTCTCTGTATTATGCAGCTCTAACTTCATGTAAGACGAAGTTTGCTATCTCTGAACATGTTTCGATTTAATGAAAAATTCTACTGTCCAAGTGCTCTACCACTCGTCTTTTGATTGTTTCCCCAATAACTTACATGGTATGGTGGCCCGGTGGCCTGGTGGCCCGGTGGCCTGGTGGCTAAAGCTCCCGCTTCACACACGGAGGGCCCGGGTTCGATTCCCGGGGGGTGGGAAAAATTTCGACACGTTTTCCCTTTCACCTGTTGTCCTGTTCACCCCAGCAGCAAATAGGTACCTGGGTGTTAGTCGACTGGTGTGGGTGGCATCCTGGGGGACAAGATTAAGGACCACAATGGAAATAAGTTAGACAGTCCTCGATGACGCACTGACTTTCTTGGGTTATCCTGGGTGGCTAACCCTCCGGGGATTAAAAATCCGAACGAAATCTTATCTCTTATCTTATCTTATGCTGTAAGTTTGCAGTTATTCCTGTCAGTCTCCTTTTTTAATACAGTGACTACATTCTCTGTCTTCCAGATCTCTGGCAACTGCCCAGTGTACACTGACTTGTTGCAGATATTGTATTATAGTTCAGTATTTGTTGCTCCCTCTCGCAGAACCCATAGTGACACTGTCATATTCCATTAATTTTAATATATCTAGCTCCAAATGTTTCTTGAATCTTTCTCTGTTGTGAATATTGTGTCTAGTATCTGTCGATGGAACCTTTATTCTATGTCTTCTGGTATTGCTCTGTCTGAGGGGGTCCTCACCAAATATTTTATTCAACACTTCGCAGATTTCCTTGTTTTTGGTAAGCTCTTCTTCTATCTCCAGTCAAGTTACGTTGTTTTTCCTCGTCTTTCTTCTGATATCGCTGTGACGCAGACTGGGTTGCAACATAGCCTGGGTTGCAACATGGCCTTGGTTGCTAAATCATTCTCAAATTGTTGCTCAACTTCTCTCCTCATCCATGTATATTCGTACCAAACTAATCTGCTCGCTTCTCTGATCTCATTTTTAACTCGCTTTTTTAAATACTGTACAAACTTTTATGCTCTTTTGGCTTCCCTTCTCTGGTTAAACCAAGGGCTCTTGTTGTCTTTCCAGTTCCAGTTCTTCTGGATATGAAGTTCTCTGCTCCCACACTTTTTAGTTACTCAAGCATCTATCTGTTGCCTTTTCTGTCAGTTCTTCTCCCAGTGCACTACATTCAGTAACTTATCTGCTTCTAAAGTCTGGCTTTTCGTACCCACCACCATAGTGCCACAAGGTATCCCAAGTTCAATACAGTTTTGGCGCTGCCATCCCTGTCCGGAGGCAGCGACCAGTTATTTTTCTTCCATTAAATAAATGGTCCACTCTTGCAGGCTCACCACTCTTGTTCATTCCTCAACATCCCCGACAAAAAAAATAATTTCACCTTAAAACACGTCCATCCTTCCGTTCCTCCCCCCTCTACTTATTTTTGGTTGACATAACCCATGCTATAACCCCGTTACCTCCATAGCTGCTTCCGCCATGATGGCAGCCATCGCTGTGGGGTTGTCTTCATATTCTCGTATTGATTTCCTACTGTTAGATGACGGGCTTTAAAAAAAAATTTGTCAATATGCAGCAAACCCGGGTATCTTTATTATGTCGTTTCATAAGATACCCAGTTGTTGCAGATGTGTCCCGATTCTTAAACTTGTCGGTAATATATACTTTTGATGTCATGATGACGGTTCTACACCTCTGAAACTACTACTTTTGATCCCACAGTTCTCAGCTGCTGTGAAGTCGTTTACCTCATGTCTGTTTATTCTCATCTTTCCGTAATCCAGTGGCTTCTTTCTAGAGTCTTCTACTTCCGGACGACTCTGTGACTGAAGAAATACTTCGTAACTTCCCTGTGACTCATCAGAGTTTTCAACGTCCAGTTGTGACACCTTGTTGCTCTGTCGCATCTGTCAAACATTCTGTCCCTGTCCACTTTGTCAAATCCTCTCCGGATTTTATGTTATGTCCCCCCTGTCGCTCCTGTCCTCCAGTGTCGTCAGGTTGATTTCCCTTAACCTCTCCTCGTAGGACATACCCCTTATCTCCGGGACAAGTCTTGTTGCAAACGTTTGCATTTTCTCTAATTTCTTGACGTGCTTGGCTAGGTGTGGGCTCCATACTGGTGCTGCATACTCTAATGTAGGTTTGACGTACGCAGTGTACAGAGTCTTGAACGATTCCTTACTGAGGTGTCGAAACGCTGTTCTTAGATTTGCCAGGCGCCTAATTGTACTCACCTAATTGCGGTTGCAAGTGTCGAGGCTCAGCTCCTGGCCCCGGCTCTTCACTGAACGCTACTAAGTCCACTCTCTCCCTGCTCCATGAGTTTCATCATACCTCGTCTTAAAGCTATGTATGGTTCCTGCCTCCATTATATCGCTTGTTAGACCATTCCACTTCCTGGCTACTCTGTGACTGAAGAAATGCTTCCTAACATCCCTCTGACTCATCTGAATCCTCAACTTTCAAGTGTGACCCCTTGTTTCTGTGTCCCATCTCTGGAACATCCTGTCTTTGTCCACCTTGTCTATTCCACGAGTGCTCCTCAGGAGATGTGCTCGGTATTATACTCACCCCAAGATCCTTTGCCTTGATTGAAGTTTGTAGTCTTTGGTCACCTAGACTTTACACTGTCTGAGGTTTCCTTTGACCTTGCCAGGCTACATGACTGTGCCATTGGTGGAATTAAACTCCAGGAGCCAGATGCTGGACCAGGCCTGCAGCCTGTCCAGATCCCTTTGTAAGCCTACCTGTGTGTGTGTGTGTGTGTGTGTGTGTGTGTGTGTGTGTGTGTGTGTGTGTGTGTGTGTGTGTGTGTGTGTCTTTTAAAATGAGAATATTTTTGATAATTACATCACAAGGTATTCTTAAAAAACCTCTGGAATAATTCTGACAAGATTATTTGAAGGATATGCAAAATAATTTTAAAACTTAAGCGAGAGTAATACTGGAGTGTGCTCATCCAGATGATGTTGCAGACCTGGAGGGCGTGCTGGAGACTGGATCACTGGAGACTGGATCACTGGAGGCTGGATCACTGGAGGCTGGATCACTGACGTGCTCGACACACCCCTGCCAGGAGCAGCTCACCATAGTTCACTGTGAGAGTCTCAACTACCCTCACCACCAGCAGTTCACTCCAAGGCGACTCAACACTGTAAACTTACATCATTTTGTGTGTTAATAGAATTAGTGGAATGTTTTGTCAGGATCACATTAAATGTGACAGAAAAAATTAACTTTCCCAAGAATCACAGATATATTGTTCTAGAAAGTTTTGGTGTCACTTTTTTATTTTTTTACTAAAACTAGCCTCATATTAATATTTTCTTTAGGGAGCACTAAACTCTTAGGGTCATACAGCCCCTTGAGAATGGAAAATAATCAGATTTGATCAAAGGAAATGGAAGGTAACTTATATTCCTGTGATTAAGAATCACTCGTTACACTACAGTGGACTTTCCTAGCAATTTAATGTTACATTGCTAAATATTATGCCATGTAATATTTACCTTTCACGCTGGCCGTCTCCCACCCAGGCAGGGTGACCTGAGAAAGAAACACTTTCACCATTATTTACACTATAACTGTCTTGTCAGAGGTACCCAGATACGACATTTTAGATATCTCTCTAAACATTATACATCCCAAACACCTCCTTCAGAGTGCAGGCACTGTACTTCCCACCTCAGTGCCTCGAGTCAGGATAATCGGTTTCCCTGAATCCCTTCCCAGATGTTACTTTGCTCACACTCCAACACTCCACCTCACTCCTCTCTAATGCACTCACGAACGCTTGCTGGAAGTCTAAACCTCTCACACACAAAATCTCCTTTACCCCCTCCCTCCAACTCTTTTTAGGATGACCCCTTCCCTGCCTTCCTTCCACTACAGATTTGTACAGCCTCCAAGTCACTCTATTTTGTTCCATCTTCTCTATATGTCCGAACCACCTCAACAACCCTCTCCTCAGCCTTCTGGATAATACTTTTAGAAACCCCACACCTCCTAATCACCAAACTATGATTACTCTTCCTAATATTCACACCACACATTGCGCTCAGACACGACATCTCCACTGCCTCCAGCCTTCTCCTTGTTACAACATTCACTACCCATGCTTCACACCCATATAAGTGTTGGTACCACTATACTCTCATACATTCTCTTGTTTACCTCCATGGATAAACCTTCTTAGTCTCCACAGACTCCTCAGTGCACCACTCACCTTGTATCCCTATTCTGTTCTATGGCTTTCCTCGTGTTTCGTACACCTATCCACCGACACGTCCCCTCCTATATATATATATATATTATATATATAAAATATATATATATATATATATATTATGGTATAAACCTTGGTAATAAATGCCGACAAGTTGGTTTAGAAAGACACGTAAGCAAACACTATAACATATTTATTAGAAAACGTTTCGGGCCTGGGACCTTGATCACTTCTAACATACAGAGGTAGAAAGACATTATATATAGGCGGAGAGTGAGGTGTGACGCACGTGACCTGAGGAATGTCATAAGAACATAAGAATGGAGGAACACTGTAGAAGGCCCACTGGCCCATGCGAGGCAGGTCCTTATCAAAACAACCTCTGCCTATGATGAGGACGGGTAGACGATGAAACCCATGTGACTCCTGTGTTGTTGGGTTGGTGCTGCTTAATATCATTATGCCAATGTTTTTGAAATTTTGTAGTTTCCAGTGTTGCGTCTATAGTGTCGGTGACGGCGATTAGTGAGGCTTCTAGGCACCGTCGGCGTCTGAGGTCTGTTCGGTGAGAACGAGTTGTGCCTCATTCCAGTTCATCAAATGCCCCGTGGAGTCTCTGTGGAGGACATATGCGTACCTTACATCGTCTCTGTTAGAGGCATTTCGATGCTCATTCAGGCGGACGCAAGATCTCTGCCTGTCTCGCCTACATATTTCTTGGGACAGAACCCACAGGGATAGTGTAGACGCCTGCTGTAGAAGTTAGAGGTGTGGGGCGCGTTTCGTAGGAGGTCTTTGATAGATGATGTGTTTATGGTGGAAACGTTGATGTTACTCATAGCAAGTGCCCTGCGAGTATTCGTGGCAACATCGCCACATGGAGTACTATGAACTGTTTAGGGGGCTGTTCCATGGGCGGTTTGTTGAGGATAGCTTGGTGCCTTGAGTCTGCAATCTCGGATGAAGAAAGATGGTAACTGAAGACGTGTAAAGGCTTGTGTTATGTAAGTGCATTCTTCTTCTAGAAAACAAGGGCTGGAGATGCGAAGAGCTCTCAAGAAGAAGCCAATGAGACTCCTCTCTTAGTGCGGGTGTCTTGGTGAATAAAAGTGTATAAGATCGTCCTTGTTGGTAGGTTTTCTATACACTTTGAAGAGAAGTTTGTCACTGTCGGAGATCTGCACAGTAGAACGTCGAGGAAAGGAAGTTTGCCATCATTTTCGAGTCAAGTGTAAACTTATTGATGGTTCAACTGCATTGATCTTGTTGAGAAGGGCCTGGATATTGAGACGTCTCGGATAGAAAACCAATATATCATCAACGTATCTTAGCCAGGTAACGGTGTTGAGAATGAGGCTGCTGAATTTCTCTGTCTCCCAAGTTTTCCATGAAGAGGTTGGCAGCACAGCACTGACCGGGCTGCCCATTGCCATCCCAAAGCATTGTTTGTAACAGTTGTCCTGATACTTGAAGAAGTTGAAATTAACACAAAGTTCCACTAGATTGATGAAATCTAGAAGAGGTAAAGGGAGGTCGTGGTTTTCAGTGAGCCTCTGTCTCAGAATGTTGATTGCAGCGTCAGTAGGAACGTTGGTAAAGAGGGCTGTGACATCGAAGGAAGCCATGCTTTAGTTTTTGACAAAGGAGGTGGTGTGGTGTTACTCAACACTGTCGACTACAACAATAAAGTCTTAAATCTTCTCAACGATGCCAACACATACCAGCCTGTATCGGAATCAGTGCTACTTCAAAGTACCCAGACTTTCCTTCAAAAGGCTCGTAGCATCTTACGAAAATCAGAACAAGGCAAAAAACTACTTAAACTTTTACCAGGTCAACCGAAACCAGCACGCCTGTATGGGCTTCCTAAGACACACAAACCTGGCATCCCACTACGGCCTATCACTTCGGGCATAGGGAGTGCACCACACAGACTAGCCGGCCACCTTGCCAAATACGTTTCAGCGCTTCTGGGCACCATCAGTCAAGCCCACCTCAAACACTCAGGTGACCTTCTCTCCCGAATTTCCAACCTGAATGTTAAAACAAAAGCATGGCTTCCTTCGATGTCACAGCCCTCTTTACCAACGTTCCTACTGACGCTGCAATCAACATTTTGAGACAGAGGCTCACTGAAAACCACGACCTCCCTTTACCTCTTCTAGATTTCATCAATCTAGTGGAACTGTGTGTTAATTTCAACTTCTTCAAGTATCAGGACAACTGTTGCAAACAGTGCTTTGGGATGGCAATGGGCAGCCCAGTCAGTGCTGTGCTTGCCAACCTCTTCATGGAAAACTTGGAGACAGAGAAATTCAGCAGCCTCATTCCCAACACCGTTACCTGGCTAAGATACGTTGATGATATATTGGTTTTCTATCCGAGACGTCTCAATATCCAGACCCTTCTCAACAAGATCAATGCAGTTGAACCATCAATAAAGTTTACACTTGAACTCGAAAATGATGGCAAACTTCCTTCCTCGACGTTCTACTGTGCAGATCTCCCGACAGTGACAAACTTCTCTTCAAAGTGTATAGAAAACCTACCAACAAGGACGATCTTATACACTTTTATTCACACCAAGACACCCGCACTAAGAGAGGAGTCCTCATTGGCTTCTTCTTGAGAGCTCTTCGCATCTCCAGCCCTTGTTTTCTAGAAGAAATGCACTTACATAACACAAGCCTTTACACGTCTTCAGTTCCCATCTTTCTTCATCCGAGATTGCAGACTCAAGGCACAAGCTATCCTCAACAAACCGCCCATGGAACAGCCCCCTAAACAGTTCATAGTAATCTCCCATGTGGCGATGTTGCCACGAATACTCGCCGGGCACTTGCTATGAGTAACATCAACGTTTCCACCATAAAACACATCATCTATCAAAGACCTCACTACGAAACGCGCCCCACACCTCTAACTTCTACAGCAGGCGTCTACACTATCCCTGTGGGTTCTGTCCCAAGAAATATGTAGGCGAGACAGGCAGAGATCTTGCAGTCCGCCTGAATGAGCATCGAAATGCCTCTAACAGAGACGATGTAAGGTACGCATATGTCCTTCACAGAGACTCCACGGGGCATTTGATGAACTGGAATGAGGCAAAACTCGTTCTCACCGAACCAGACCTCAGACGCCGACGGTGCCTAGAAGCCTCACTAATCGCCGTCACCGACACTATAGAACGCAACACTGAAACTACAAAATTTCAAAAACATTGGCATACATGATACTTAAGCAGCACCAACCCAACAACACAGGAGTCACATGATTTCATCGTCTACCCGTCCTCATCATAGGCAGAGGTTGTTTTGATAAGGACCTGCCTCGCATGGGCCAGTAGGCCTTCTACAGTGTTCCTCCATTCTTATGTTCTTATGACATTCCTCAGGTCACGTGCGTCACATCTCACTCTCCGCCTATAATATATAATGTCTTTCTACCTCTGTATGTTAGAAGTGATCAAGGTCCCAGGACCGAAACGTTTTCTAATAAATATGTTATAGTGTTTGCTTACGTGTCTTTCTAAACCAACTTGTCGGTATTTATTACCAAGGTTTATACCAGATATATATATATATATATATATATATATATATATATATATATATATATAATATATATATATATATATATATATAATTATATATATATATAGTGCCGACAAAGTAGATTGAAAAATATTTTTGTCCATAACTCCAAAATTCAGTCTGGGCATAACGTAAACTACATATATATCATTGACGTTATATAATCTAAATTTATGCTGACCTCTGATGTATATTTAAAAGAATTTGCTTAAATTATTAGGTGAGGCATCTAAGTTAGGTGAGGTGTCTAAGTTAGGTGAGGTGTCTAAGTTAGGTGAGGTGTCTAAGTTAGGTGAGGTGTCTAAGTTAGGTGAGGTGTCTAAGTTAGGTGAGGTATCTAAGTTAGGTGAGGTGTCTAAGTTA